AGTCACCATTCACCTTTTTAGCGACGCAAAATAGGCATTAAATACCTCAGGTTTCTTGATGTCATCAGTTATTAGCTCTTCTTCCCTGCTACATAGAGAACCTACGCTTTCCTTCATCTTTCTCTTGCTACTGATGTATTTAAAGACCCTCTTATTGCTTTTTGTGTTCCTTGCTAGGGGTAACTCATTTTGTGCCTTAGCCTTTCTGAGGGCTTGTCTTCACTGATGCAGCTGTGCTGCTGTAGTGCTTTAGTGAAGAAGCCATTAGGCCGGATATAGCTACTATGCCCTGAGAGGCAGTTGCTGCGTCAGTGGGAGAAGCTCTTCTGCGCTCTACACAGGGGGTTAGGTGGTTATAACTATGTTGTTCAGGGGTGTGAATTTTTCACATCCCTGCGCAACATTACTGAAACCGATAGAAGTTTGTAGTGTAGACCTGGCCTGATTTTGTTCCTACATGCTTGTGCTATTCTTTTGTACTCCTCCTTAGCAATTTGTCTGTGTCTCACTTCTGGCAGTCAGGAACCTTTTAGCTACAAGTTCTTAACTCTTATTCTGTTAAAATGCATGGGAAATGGTTGAGAGCCACTACCTGAACTCTGGTAGGAGTCCTATTGTGAGAGAAGGGGACCGAGAGTTGACATCGCAAGGAAAACTACTGTAGGGTAAGGCTCACCTGCTCAGTTACAGAATGGGGAAGGACACCGTCCTGCCTGCTTATAATGGATAGCTTGCCAGCAGTAATGCTGTTGAGACCATTTCCGTGAATAACTTAGCACAGGAATGCAGCTGAAACAGACGTGTTGCGTTCAGTGAAATGTATGTAAGCCAGCCTTATTGAGAAGGCCTTTTGTGTAGCAGAGTCTGTTCTCTTACAGAATGTGTCATGTTGTGGATAAAAGGTTCCTCATCTCTGTGGGGATGCCCTGGGGAGGCCTGATCCAAAGCCCCTTGAAGTCAATGGGAGTCTTCCTATTGCCTGCAGCAATGTCTGGTTCAGACTATATGTGGCCTTCTCTAATCTCTCTGCACTACTGCCCTCTGCTGAATAGCACATGTATGAGCCTGCAGCCTAAAGAGGAGAGAGACTATAAAATCTAACAGTGGAGGTAGCTGCCACAGTCCCATTATTCCATGATTTTTTATTACAGCTACCAGATAGTTTAATAACAAAGTTTTAAAGGTTTCAGAGGAACAGCCGTGTTAGTCTGTATTCGCAAAAAGAAAAGGAGTACTTGTGGCACCTTAGAGACTAACCAATTTATTTGAGCATGAGCTCTCGTGAGCTACAGCTCACTTCATCAGAGGGATTTTATTTTCCTCCTTACAGTTCTCAATGTGCTCATAGGCACAATGTACGACACAGACCCCAAAATGAAGCCCAGGAAATACTGATTAATACAGAAGATTTGAAAATTGTGTGGGGCCCATTTCTCTAGCTGAAATCACCCCCTTTTTTTATTTGACATTTCTGATGTTAATTTCTAGAAATAAACAGTTTTGTGGACAAATTTGAATCTGCAAAACGGGATAGCATTTGTCATGGGAGGCAGTTGGGAGGGTTCATTATTTTTGCTGCTTAATAAATTATGCCAATTGTGCTGAAGTCACCTGTTGGTGCCATTGACTGGGAGGGAGTGTGGATTGATGGTGAGAGCAGGGGGCTGAGAGATAGGACTTCTAGATTCTATTCCTCTGATTTACTGTGTGGACAACTGACTTCACTGTGCTTTAGACTTAACGAATGTATGTAAAGCTCTTTATTATGCTCAACTGTAAGGCCCTCGGGAAATGCAAAATATGACACTTCATTAATTTCCTCAGAATTCTAACAGTGGATGGGATCATTGAGGATGCCAAGCGGCGCCGGTACTATGAGAAACCATGCCGCAAGAGGCAGCGGGAGACCTACGAGATGTGCCGGCGGATTTATAACACAGAGATGGCCAGGAAGATTGCATTTCTAATGAGGAAGAATCGACAGGACCCCTGGCTAGGCTGTTAGGTCCAAAGAATTACAATAGCTGGGGAAACAGCCCAGTGACTTCTGTTTTAAAAAAAACAAAAAAACAAAAAAACCAAAACATACTGCTGTCAGATCTGATCGCCTCATGGCTAGTTTCAGCCAAGAGACCAATGACTGAATGGGTCATGGAGACTGATCTCCCTTCTTCACCAGGGCAGGACTGAAGGACATCATACCATAGAATCTCTGTTTCTGAGCAGTTGCCATGTTGTCTTTCTATCTGTTAATAAAGTGACCATTTTAGCATGTTGTCCTGCTGTTCTTGGGTGACACAAACATAAGGAAACTATATTAATTCAGAGTTTAGAATTGGCTTTCCCTTTTATGAACAATTCCTTTAAATAGTGCTTGCTGCTCATTATAATTAGAGCCCTGCAAATCTGCCGATATCTGCAGAGATCCGCATCCGTGAATGCAGATATCCGTGGACCATTTTTGCAGATCCCGGGTGGATGGGGATTCAAATTTTGTATCCGTGCCGGGCTCTAATTATAATCTCCTACTTGGCAGTGCTTGTGAAAACAGGGAAAAACCTGAGTTAGGTCTGATTTATTCCAGAATAAAGATGCTGCTGCAAGTATTTTCATTCTCCCTCCCTTTATTTTACTCTCCGTTGGTTGGCAGTAAAGGGTGTGGATTATGGAATTCGTATACATCATTTGCAGATTATTTTTAAGACAGTAGAGGTTCAGAGCCTTATCCTCATTTATACTGTGGTCCCATTATTCAACTCTGGTAGTGAAAAGGGGCCTTAAAATGAATGTAAACATATTCCACCCACTTCCGGGCTTCTTTACTCTGACAAAATAAGAGTATAAAATAAAACAAGTCCTCAGAGTCCTGGGAGAGTACAGCTGCTTCTGTAGTGTTTTAACTTATTTTTTTTTAATGGAGTATCCATTTAATTTTCTCCAGTTTTTTTAAGGTTCCTCTTAAGCAATCATGTCAGGAAATGTCAAAGTTAAGCTTGCAGATATAATTTTCAGACCCTCCTTTCCCTGCTTCTGTAAATGCTTTCCTGAATATGATCAATCCTGTTTTTCACATAATTATACTTTTTCTGACAATCTTACACACATGTAGTGTCTTGTAATACCCTTTGTTGTGTGCCAGAGTCCACAAAAGTGATTTGTATAGTTGGACTACATAATACTGGCTGCCCCCAATGGAAAAATAAAATAAAATTTAGCACTTGGGGGGGAAAAAAACAAAAGGTTTGTTTCTAAGATCCCATCTAAGAGGTCCTCAACCTCTTTCAGTATGGAAAGTATTTAGTGTATTTTTAGATATCTTTTAATATCTAGACAACTAGAAATGAGAAGTCAATCCCTTGTGACTAGCAAGTCCTTTGTGGAGAGCAGTGTGAGAACCTTTATAAAAGGGGATGAGTTTGGATGGGTGTACACTATAAACTTTTGCTGGTATAATAATGTTAGAGGGTTGATTATTTCCACAGACTCAAGTAACCAAGTGGACAGAAAAGAGAAGTCCTTCAGCACTTAGAGCATGAGGAGATGCTCCTACTAATAAATGATTGGGGAACAAATAAGGTGGAAGCATTTATCTCCTGAAGCTATTTGCCTTATAATTGGGTATACTTGGAAGTGGATCTTGTAATATCCTGCCACTGATATTGCATTGTGCAGCAGACTGGTTACTGGATGCCTCTGATTATGATATTAGGGATACCTGCAGCTATTCTGTTTCAAAACTCTGTTCTCACAAATTAGGGTGTATGTCACAGGATTAGTACTGGGATGGGAAACCTCCAAAGACCAGCTGGGCTGAGATAGGAAATTTATGATGATAGTTCAAAAGCTGGCTATCTTCTTTGTGAAGCAATTCCCTGTTGACATGCTTGCATTACTCATGCTGGGGTCAGCTCAAGTTCTACAGTGAATTACAACAAGCATCACTGCATGCGAGGTCTTGGTAGAACAAGGATTGGCTGCCTGTCTCATGTTTTTTTCCTTAGCACCATACTCTCCATTAAATGCTAGATTTAGGCAGATGAATGGTTCTAAAAATTATATGAATGGAGTTCACCCAGATGTGATGGCATCAAGCCATGACATGCCTGGGTGACCTCATGAGCCACCATAATGAAACTCTGCCATAGTGTTGCAATGTGGTAACTGCAGGTGTCAGCTGTACAGTGCATTGTATTGGCTTTCTGGCATGGTGCAATGATATACTCAGCTGCTGCTGCTTGCAGAGCGGCATGGCCAAGACCATGGGAGGAACAAGAAGGTAATTTGACAGCATGACACACGTTGGCATGATTTTACCATTGCCATTTATCATGGGTGCTATGAGGGCAGGCTTCTGCCAAGCCGTTGGTCCTCTCTCCTATGCTCCTCCTGGGCCTCGGGGAAGCTGGGGACCAAGAACTCACCCCAACCCCACTTTGCTATTCCCCTTAGCCCTTGCAAAAGCTGGGTACCAGCACCTGAGCCCTCTGGATCCCCTGCCCTCCAGCTCCTGAAATTGGCCCCTGTGGGTGGCGGGGCCATGACCCCAGCCCCTCTAGATCCCCTGCCCTCCAGCTCCTGGAATAGGCCCCTGTGGGTGGCGGGGCCATGACCCCAGCCCCTCTGGATCCCCTGCCCTCCAGCTCCTGGAATAGGCCCCTGTGGGTGGCGGGGCCATGACCCCAGCCCCTCTAGAGTCCCTGCCCTCTGTAGGTGGTGGGGCCAGGACCCCAGCCGCCCTGGATCACTTGTCCCAGGCCCCAAATCTCCCTTTCCACTCGCCCTGCAGCAGCTCCTCGCGTGGAACGGGGAGGTGCTGGGCTTTTCTCTCTCTCTCCCCCCCCCCGGTCACGTGACGTGACCCGACCCAGACGCGATGGCCTCTTCTCCGTCACGTGAAAAGGTCTCAGGGTGCCGCTCCTCCGTCACGTGACCACCCCCCCCATTGAGGCGCCGGGCTCCTGCGTCACGTGCTGGTGCCTAATTTCCCCGCCCCCCGCGACGCGGCTTCACGCGGGCCGTTTCCGCTTCCGCCCTAACGTTCCGTCTCCGTCAGTCGCAGCGAGTCTTCTCTAGGCCGCCGCGGCGGGGAGCGGAAGTTTCGGGCTGGAGCCGGGCCGGGCCGGGCGGCGCTGAGGTGAGGCGCGCGGGAGCCGGGGATGGGCAGGCCGCGGAGCCTGGGCTGGGGGCGCGGGATCCGGGGCTCGAGGCCTGAGCTAGGCCGGCGTAGGCCTCATGTGTGCGCGCGAGGCGCTGACCAAGGGAGGGGAGCTCCCCCCAGCCAGCCCCCCTAGGCCCTGGGGAAGGGGGGAGCCCTTAGTCTGCCCCTCATACGCCTCAGGCGGTGATAGGGGCCCCCATTTACTGGCCTGCCGCCCCCCGCGGCCTTGGGGAAGGGGGGAGCCCCCCAGCTGCCCCCCCCCCCAGGCTCTGGGGAATGCGGAAGCCCTTAGCCTGTTCCTCATACTCCTGAGGCAGCCTCAGTGAGGCTGTGATAGGGACCCCCATTTACTGGCCGGCTATCCCCATGCCCTGGGGAAGGGGGGGAGCCCACAGCCGGCCCCTCATACTTCTGAGGCTTTGACAGGGACCTTCCTCATCAATCTGTGCACTTCCTCTTCTTTTCTACTATCTGTTATACCCCAGACATCTTCCCTGCCCTAAAGGACTCCCTTGATCAGGAGGGTGAGCAACACACGCTCTGGTGCCCCGGGTGTGTGGTACTCAGCTGTGTGTGCTGTCTTGGACCTATCACTGGTACCCGTGTCTCATCACCATGTACCCTTTTTGCTCTGTGGTTCTGAATGAAACTGATAAAGCACAAGTGAGTTATTAGCCCAACGTTTTAAGTTAAAACATCTCAGTGAATGATTCTGGGAATCTCCAGAGTCTCTGAGCAGACTTGATTTTTGTGCATCTACCTCAAAACTAACAATCTCAAACTCCTCTAGAAATGCTGCCTTTATCATTTTGGCCCAGATCAGGGAGCACTCATAGATTTGCACTCTTTATTTCTGTTGCATACTCCTATTTTTTAGTGTTTGCACCTTTTTCGCACAAGAAGTGTGTGAGTTGGGTACTAGGGCAGGCAACTGTGTGGTGGGCTCCTAGGTTCTGATCTCAGCTTTGCTACTGATTTACTGTTTGACTTGAGACAAGTCACTGAACTCTTCTGTGTCATTTAGAAAATTAGTATTACTTGTCTCACAGGAGTATGGTGACAAAAAAATCAGTGCGGTGCTTTGGAGAGAATGTGCTATTTAAGCGCAGTTATTTTTCTCTAACATCTCACCTATAAGTGAGACATGGAGTGACTTTTTTTTTCCTTTTAAAGAGTTTGACTTGGAGGGGCAATACCATTAATCTGCCACAGTGATGGTTTTGTCAAGAGGAATTTTTTCCCTTTATGTCTCCTGTTCTCTATGCATCATAAGCAAAAAGCATTCTCTTTAATGGTGTGTATTAGGTTTGTTTCTAAACTTGGGTCTTCTGGATACTTCATGTAACACCAGTGACTTTTTAGGGGGATAATAGTACTTTGAGTACACAAGATCAAGGGATCATCCAGTAAAACTGAGAGGCAGCAGATGTAAAATATAAGGAAGTTCTTGTTCACACAACACACTGTTAACCATGCATAATACTCAGGACTCCTGCCTCCCATTTTGCCTCTAACCACTAGACTACACTGCCTCCTTTGCTGATCATTCAAAGATACACACGTAATGGTGGGGAGGGAATTGGCACATTTATTTCCATTCTGGATAAATAAACATTTTTATTAAAACAAATAAAAGGGAACAGCAGCAGCAACAAAAAAAGGTATCCATGAGGGTTTTAATCTTTGCTAGAGCAAATGAGTTTTATAATAAGATTAGAATTGTCTGCCCATAAACATGGTACATTTGTGCTAGGTTGCTTCTCAGAAAGAAGTAATTGGGAAGGAGGTGGGGGACAACCCAATCTTCCTGTGTACACAATTTTCATTTGCAGAATTTGGTAAAATTTTCCACGGATGTATGCGAACTCTTATCCTGTTACAGCTAAATTTGTCTGATTCAAGGCATCTAGATTTCTAGCCTTAACGTAGGCAGTGCTCAGACCTTTAAAGTAGTTGTCTTGTTGGGGCAATGCTGTGAGCAAGAGGGTTTCTATTGAAAGGAGGCATTGTACATATCACTGTAGCTTTGGAAACTAATTATAATTAGAACTTTTACTTAATTTTAGGCATACGTGTTTTACAGAATGAAGCTAAATATGTCGCTTATCTGAAGGAGCCACAGTTGCTTGACAACAGCTTTGTGAGAACATCAATTCCAGATTACCCATTTACTGAGGAATAACATAGTGAAGAAGGTTAGTGTGTGTAAACCTTAATGAGAGATACATGTGTTGTGCAGTTTCACTATTGGACCACCTGGTAGAAATCGTCTATTATATTTTGGCTGGCAACTTTCTTAGACATTTTAATGCACACATTTGGCCTTATATGCAAGGTTTAACTGTATATAGAATACTTACATGGCTGAAAGATAGTGTTCTCATTCTGTAGGTAGTACATAATGAGAATGCTCATGTATACTATTCGCTCTTCAGATACTGAAATATCATGCTAACCTGCCTGAGGTTGAGTATTCTATTAGGTCTTATTGAATTACATAAATGAAGGTAAAATCTACCAAGGCATAATCATTCTTATAGCCATATTAGCCTGTTTTTACAATATATAAATGAGGATACTAATATGGCAACATGTTTTTTGTGAAATGTAATAATGGCTCTTAACCTAGCTGAACTAATGATCATGAGTATCAAATGTTAACATTTAACAGTCATCATCCGAAATGTGCCTTACTCAACAAGCAGCTATAACTGAAATGTAGCTATAGAATGCTAGAGCTAGAGTATATGGAGGATTTTCTCTAACTTGAAGTCTTTAAATCAAGAGTTGAGGACTTAAGTAACTCAGCCAGAGGTTGTGGGGCTTTTTGCAGGAGTGGGTGGGTGAAGTTCTGCTGCCTGCAATGTGCATGAGGTCACACTAGTTGATCATGATGGTCCCTTCTGGCCTTAAAGTCTGAATCTATAGTGAGGTTGTGAGTCAGGAGACCTGGAAGATGTCCCTTTTTGTGTGAGCTTAGCCAAGTCACCCTTAATTTCCTCTAGTTTAGAAGGCTGCACGTGCTTACCTTGTGTAGATGTTGTGAGGCTTAATGTCTGTAACATGATTTGAGATCTTCAAGTGAAGGTACTAAGCACTAACTAGTGTATATTAGAATTTTCAGTGTTTATCAAAAATGTATTTCATCCACATTGCTGAAAATGGACTTGTTCCCCTCTCAAAATATTGTAAAAACCATTCTAATGTATTGAGTGCGAGTGGTGTATGTGAAATAAGTTTGGATAGGTCTCAGTCTAGTGACTAATGGACAAGGGTTCACATCACAAATCTACCACCCTGATTGTCACTAATTGGCTCCCTTATTAGCACAAGCCAAAGATTGAATGGGCCACAAAGACAGAACTCCCCCCCCTCTGTCCTGGGGGCATTTATGAGGCTGTAAGTCTGTAGGAGTTGGAAACTGTGTTGCTGGTACCTGTTACCTGCCCTGTGGATAAATACGACAGTTCCTCTCTCACCTTGTCTCTCTAGTATCCTGGGCCCATCCACGGCCCAACACTGCATAGTCTCCAAGAGTGTCAACAAGAGGAAGAAAAGGAGTACTTGTGGCACCTTAGAGACTAACCAATTTATTTGAGCATAAGCTTTCGTGAGCTACAGCTCACTTCATCAAGTCTGTAGCTCACGAAAGCTTATGCTCAAATAAATTGGTTAGTCTCTAAGGTGCCACAAGTACTCCTTTTCTTTTTGCGAATACAGACTAACACGGCTGTTACTCTGAAACCTGTCACAAGAGCAAGGTTGGCCTTGTTATCGTGGTACTGGACTAGGAGTCAGGAGATCTCGATTCCGTTCCTGGCTCTGCCATCGATTTCCTGTGTAACTTTGAGAAAGTCGCTTAGGGAACTAACACACAGAGATTATCTCTAATAAGGATCTAATACTTCCTTTGTCTTGTCTAGTTAGATTGTAAGGTCTTGAGGGCAGGGACTATTTCTTGTCTTATACAGCACTTAGAACATTGGCATCCCAACATTGGTTGGGTCTCTAGGAAGAAATACATTAAAAAAAATGCTTTGTACCTTCCAGCTCTAAATTCACACTAAAAAAATAAAAATATAATGGCCATCAATATAATGGTGATTTGGCTGCTCCAGTCTCTCTTCTAAGAGATGCTTTTTCCACTCTTTGTTTTTCTTATAGGTAAAATTCAAATAATTGAAGTCAGCCTACCAGTGAAGATGTCACTCTCTAAACGGGAATTGGATGAGCTGAAGCCATGGATCGAGAAGACAGTGAAGCGGGTCCTGGGTTTTTCAGAACCCACTGTGGTCACTGCAGCATTGAACTGTGTTGGGAAGGGAATGGACAAAAAGAAAGCAGCCGGTATGTCCTCGGCTTTTCATTATGACACTCACAACACATCCATTGCTGTGTATTTTGGAGTAGTAAAGATCCTTGACAAAAAGAGAGGGAGGTGTATGAAATAGGTGCTAAAAGTGACAACCTGTTGAATCTCTCAGGATTTCTGTTTAGCGATACAATCCATTTTTCTGCGAACTATTTCATATAAACTGTATCGTACCATGCCTTCGAGCTAAACAGCAGCAAAGCTGGGAAAGGAATAGAAGCATCACTCAGGAAAATGAAACTAACAATATAGGCACTTTGTCTTGGTCTAGAAGGCAACCAAGTGAGGCTTTCGAATTTGTATCTTAAATAAATGAGAGTATTTGTTCCTGTGAGTAGCTGTGAGCTTTTCAAATGAAACTGGAAGATCTGCACTGCATTTGGAATGGTCTTTAAGTCAGATTTGAATTTATCTTCCTTATTCTTGGGCACTTCTTCACGTGACTAGTGGTGCTGAACTGTATGTGGCAAATTGTTTCTTCATCACTAATTAAGGTTGTGACAGTGTTTCCATTAGATGGACCCCCTTTTCATGGATGTGTGAAATCCCTTTTGAGCTGAGAATGTCCTTGCTAATTCTTAGCTCAGAGCCAATTTTTATGTACTTAATATTTTCAGACTTACTTCACAGGCTGTACGTAGTAATAGAAGCTTACTTTGGACAGATTTTCTTGTACTCCCCTTTTCCTCATGGCAGAAGATGGCATTGTCTTAAGATGCTTCCAAAACACTTAAAGGGTGTTACAGAAACTGACAAGACAGGAAATGCAGCTGAAAGGCTCCATTGTTAAAGAAACTGAAGACATTTGCTGTAGTCAGTGTTAGAGACTACCTTAAAAAGAGACTTGCATGGAATCTCAAAACCCATAGGTCATGTATTCTAGATTTCAGGAGGAATGGCAGCCTGTGAATTTACAGGCTGAACTATAATTTTTATCCACGTATTCCTGTCTCCAAAAATGCTCATTGTCTAGTCACATAAATTTCTCTTCCTTGCCAGACCATCTGAAGCCCTTTCTTGATGATTCCACTCTGCGGTTTGTCGACAAGCTCTTTGAAGCTGTAGAGGAGGGACGAAGCTCCAGGCACTCAAAATCCAACAGTGACCGGAACCGAAAGAGAGAATTGAAGGTAAGCTAAGGACTGATTGTTATATTGTTCGATAAAGGCCATGAATGTAGTGCTGTTACTTTACCACATTCTCCTCTTCCAGAAAGGCACATCTTATAATGCTTAAAGTTCAAGAGAAAAGACCCTTCTCTACAATGAAGTGTGTGAGCCTTTACATTTCAGTTCTTTTTACTCTCTTCTGAGGTGCCATGAGGGACCAAAATACTTTTCCTGGCTTGGAAGCCTGAGCATCTGGTTTCTTTAACAATCCCCTAGTGGTTTAATGAAACAGAACAGCTTAAATAGCAGGATTTGTGGCTCTGTGCTGTTTTTCATACTCCTTTATCCCCCACTTGAATTTTTGCCATACTGTTGAGTCTTCATTAACTAGAGGTTAGGAGTCTGGGTTAGTCGGGCACAGCTTGTAGTAACTTTCCATTGCTCTTCCTTGCTCAGACGTGTCATCGTAAAATCTAAACTGATGATTTCACAATTGTCAGTGAATGAATGTTGGTGGGTTACCTTGTGGATTTTCACTTTCTGTTCATGCACTGAAGCTCATCTGGAACCCACAATATGCACCTTCTGGCAACCTCTTTTCCCCACCAAAGTTCAAGGTCCTGAAATACAGCAAGGATTTTCTAGTGTTCTGGTGGTTTTCCCATCTAACATTTGACTGGGATGGTGGAAAGTCTCATGCTTCCGCAGCTGTCTTTTACTTCTCACTATCTTGAAGATTTTGCTTTTGACCCTGGAATTACAATTTTTGTCATCATTTGCATACAGAGTTTAAAAATGGCTACTCGACAAGCTGTTCCCTGGTCTTAAAGTAAGTTTCCTTTCACTTTTTTCCTGAGGTTCCTATTTTATGGCATTTTATATTTCTCTTTTTGAAGTTTTGCATTGTATCAGTTCCTGATTCGTCAGTTACCTAGTATATTCCCTTACAGGGCTCTCAGCTGTGCCTTTCCAGGTGTCTGTGGGAAAGTGCTTTGTAGGAGGAGAGGGACTACCTACCCTTCTCAATATTTTCTGTCTGAAACTGTTACTTTTCTCCTCTGCCTGGCTGAGGCTTTAAAATGTGCTAGAGAAGGGTCTACTTACCTTTCCTCTTCCAGGTTCCAGTTACATTCACTGATTAAACAGTCAGGCACAAAGAAGAGGTCTTTATCCCCAGAATAGGTACAGCCTAGGTGGCAGCAGTGCAATCATCCCTGCCAATGTGCCTTAGTCTGATCTGGAGTGAGCCCCACCCCTCCCAAAGGAGAGAGGGGCAAAGTTCAATCTTCCATAGCTCAGGTCTGGTCTACACTACAGACCTATATTGATATAATTGTTGTTCTGGGGTGTGAAAAATCCACACCCCAAGCAACGTAGTTATGCCAACCTAACCCCCTGGTGGACAGTGCTATGTCGGAAGGAGAGCTTCTCCCACCAACATAGCTATCTCCTCTCAGGGAGGTGGCTTAACTATGCCGACAGGAGAGCACTCTCCTGTCGGTGTAGAGCGTTTTCATTAAAGCGATGCAGTGCCTTAAGTGTCAATGTGCTCTCAGTCATTGGCACCTCTACGGAGACTATCAAGAAGGGAGCCAGCTAGTGTAATGTGGTGTCATCTTTGTGCTGTGGGCACATTTAATTAGGAGTTAGACTGAAATTGACTAACTCATTTCACATAAGCCACCAAACTGTCCTCAGATTGAAAGGCAGTAAGCCATCATATTTTGTCCCAGCCAGATCTCAAGTCTCTTACCTCTGGTATATTGGGGAGACAGAAGAAACTGGAATATCTGAACTATGCCATGCAGCCACTTGACATGTCATTTTAAAGCAGATGGTTCTGCAGATAAATTCTTTGGCAGATGGATTGCAGTCTGCACTTTACAAGTGATGATTATTTTATACTTCTGTAGCACTTCTGATGCAAATGGATCCCAAAGCTTTTCACAGTTACAAATCATTTATAAGACAGTGCTTTAGTCACCCGGAATGCCCATTCTCGCATGATGTGGAAGCTACTTAGCATCAAATGGCAACACCGTACAACGTTATAGGACAGGAAGGGAAGACCGTTACGCTCTGTTGAAACTCTATGGGGAATCTTACGGAGGTAGGTTAGATACCCAAGCTGGGATTTGGACTGGTCACTGGGGCTATTGCCCCATCTCTAGTGAAAAGTGCTCTGGGATCTTGAATGACCAAAAGTGTTCCAAGCCCTCAGTTTTGTATCTAATCTGAAATTCAGCCCTCCCAATAGCAGAGCATGCCCAAACACACTGTGGTGGGCCACTGACTCAAGGAAAAGTCATTCCACTGAATGCATCCGATGAAGTAAGCTGTAGCTCACGAAAGCTTATGCTCAAATAAATGTTAGTCTCTAAGGTGCCACAAGTACTCCTTTTCTTTTTAAGGAAAAGTGTCATCTACTGAATCACCAGCTGCTCTTCCTGAAGTTAACTTCCTTAGAAGTGTCACATCCAGACACTGATCTCCCCGACCCTGCTTAGCAGGAGATCTGCTGGATTGCAGCCCAAGGTGGTATAACTAGGGTAACTTTTCCTTTCTGGCTTTTCCCTTGAAAATATTAGCTCTGCTTTTACATATGCTCACAGAATTAGAATTGTAGTGGTGGACAGAGGGATGATAAAAACATTAGATACTACCCATGTTAGCTGTCTTTCAGCATTCTGTCTGGCCCTCTCTTTCTCCTCTCTCCCTTCTACCATTTCATGGGGTAGATCACTGCTTGGGAAGTTTCAGGAACTAAAACGTAATGGTCTACACACTTTATACTATGGGCAAGTCCTTTCTCTTGAACTTGTAGGTATTCCAAGAAGTACCTGTGTCTGGCTGAGGAAGTGTCCTTGTAGAATATGAACCATAATAGTGAAGAGGGGATTTCAACTAACGCTTACAACCGGTGTGTATATCTTCTTTTCAAATAACATTCACTTATAATGCAGTATGCCTGTTGTATGGTAGATTAAGGGCTTGTTTACTCACACAAATGGCACGTATTTAACTAAATCAGTGCAATCTCCTTGTAGACACTCTCTTAAATCAGGTTTCAGAGTGGTAGCTGTGTTAGTCTGTATAAGCAAAAACAATGAGGAGTCCTTGTGGCACCTTAGAGACTAACTCATTTAGTTGCGCATAAGATTTCGTGGGCTAAAACCCACTTCATAGATGCATGGAGTGAAAAATACAGTAAGCAGAATCGGCAGAGTCCTCTGGCACCTTATAGACTAACAGACGTATTGGAGCATCTGAAGAAGTGGGTATTCACCCACGAAAGCTTATGCTCCAATATACCTGTTAGTCTATAAGGTGCTACAGGACTCTTCGCTGCTTTTACAGATCCAGACTAACACGGCTACCCCTCTGATAGTAAGCAGAATATATATCCTAGCACATGAAAAGATGGGAGTTGCCTTACCAAGTGGCGGGTCAGTGCTAAGGAGCCAATTCAATTAAGGTGGAAGTGGCCTGTTCTCAACAGTTGACAAGAAGGGGTGAATACCAAGGGAGGGAAAATTACTTTTGTAGTGCTAACAAGGCCAGTGCAATCAGGGTTGCCCATTTCAAATAGTTGACAAGGTGCGAGTATGAGTAGAGGGAAAATTACTTTTTGTAGTGACTCTTAAATCAGTTTGAGATTTAGAAACCAATTTAGTTAAATCAGTTCAGTTTGTGTGTAGATCAGACCTTTGTCCGTGGATAGGTGTGTGAGAGAACACACAGGCTTACTGGGAAGAATGATGGACCTAGGAACTCTTTACCCCATGCAAAAGGATGGTAGTGCCTTTCACACAAGGATCTGGGTGCTTTGCAAACATTAGTTAACCTCCATATCACCACCACCCATTTAGATGGATCTCACTTACCATTGTACAGGTGAGAAAATGAGAGACAGATTGAATTTGTGCCTGATCCCACAGTGGGTAAATGGCAGGGCTGAGAATCCAACGTAGGAGTTCTGGATTCAAGCCCCTTGCTGTGACTGCTTGACCAAAATGTTTTCCGAATTCTAAATTGCTGGACTCAAGTGCTGGTTGCTTGTCTTCATCAGTAGCCTCAAGTAGCTTTGTTATATCATTGATCATAAGCTATCTCGTCTTGTTCCCGTTCTGTTAGGATGTGTTTGGTGATGAGACTGAGATCTCCAAGGAGTCTTCTGGTGTTAAGAAGCGGCGTATTCCACGTTTTGAGGAGGTAGAGGAGGAGCCGGAGGTTATCCCAGGACCACCTTCAGAGAGTCCTGGAATGCTGACCAAGCTACAGGTTTGTCTTCTCAGGCTGCTCTCCTCTGCCACTTCCCAAGAAACTGAGATCTTGGATCTTAACATCTTAATATTTAGTTTCAGTGTGAGGGAATAGCTGAAACTTTTCTTATCTTATACTTCATATCATGATTAGAAATTTGAATGTCAGGGTCTAGCGTCCTTCTTTTGAAAACTAATAGCAAGTGCTTTCCACTGTGTCCTTTTCAGAGTTTGCTGCTACTATTGGCCAATTTCAATAGAAGTTCCTAATTCACAAGCCTAATGGTCCTCTTCGTCATTTCTGGAAAACTGAGTGGCAGAGAGAGTGCAATGTTGATGCCTTGTGTTGCTAAAACTTGCTACTCACACAGAATCTACATTTGCAAAAATACTGTGAAATGTTAATGAATACAACTAAACTATACTGCGAATAAGTGGAGAAAATACATTTGATATGCAGTGTTCAGATATGCACTGAAATGTGTTCACTTGCAGTTATGTAGTATAAACAGTTCATTAGCTGAATGCCATCTGTATGATCTGGCACATTTCATTATTTTTTTTAGTTACACAGTACCATAAATGTACATGGAGTTTGGCAGATTCAGAAAACGTGCTTGGACTAAAGCTCTTAGTCTAAATTAAACTGACTAAACAGTTCAGACACATGAAGTAATTTACCAGTAAATGGCTTAATCTTAAAGGATTAATGTCACTGAATTTAGTGGAGGAGGTGTTCTAGAATTAATGAGAGTCTCCTGTATATCATCTTGAAACAGTGATTTCCACCAGGAAAGGGAAATTCAGTTCTTACAGTTTGCGGTGCCAGTGAGCAGACTGAATTGATTAAGAACAGGTCAGGAAATCATTTTGCAGGTCCTTTCACTTTTTTTGGAACATGCAAAGCACTTGGTCACACTTGAATTCAGCCAAGAGAACAGTGAGAAAGAGAGGGGAAGACCCTCTTCACAAATGAAACAAGGAAACAAGGCTCCTTTTCTGTAGGGTGAGCTGAATAGGAAGGAACAGGTCATGGCAGTGGGCACTGACTACCCAGGGTTGCTGCTGCTAAATTAGAGGTTGTTGGTTAGAATTGTCCCGGTTGGTAGCTGGGTTTGCACTCATTTGCCGCTATGTGAAGAGCCTCTGAAGAGTGCTTTAGCCCTTCTTACGAAGAGGAGGAAGAAACCTAACTTTCCAACTTTTATTTCTGCAGATCAAACAGATGATGGAGGCAGCAACACGTCAGATTGAGGAGAGGAAAAAGCAACTGAGTTTCATCAGTCCTCCTGCACCCCAGGTACAGCCTGGAAAGCAAAAGGGGAGATCCTTTGCCACAGGATTCAAATGGATGCATTGTCTTTCTCCTCAAACAGTGACTTGTGTGATTGTTCTGACACGTATCTAACAGTGTATTTCTCTCCACAGCCAAAAACTCCCTCTTCATCCCAGCCAGAACGTCTCCCCATCGGCAATACCATCCAGCCTTCACAGGCAGCCACGTTTATGAATGATGCTATTGAGAAAGCCAGGAAAGCTGCTGAGCTGCAAGCCCGAATCCAGGCTCAGCTGGCCTTGAAACCTGGGCTCATTGGCAATGCCAACATGGTGGGGTTGGCCAACCTGCATGCAATGGGAATTGCACCTCCGTGAGTACAATCAACTTGCCAAGTACACTGTAACCCTGGTAACTTCCTATGGGAACAAGACAAATGCTAGGCGTGCATACTGTCAGCCTTCATCATTGCCTTTCCACCAAAATTTATGTGTATTGACTTGGATTCATAAACTGGATAATTGGCGGCTCTGTGTCAATGATAGAAGCACCAGAGAGTGATGCTTGACAGGCATTGCCCTTCTGGATGTTGTCTGTCTGCTGTTGTCCACCTCCTACTGTAACATTGTAGTTGTCCTTTGAATGTTCAGTCCATTTCAGGGTCAACTAAGAGTAGTCTAAACTACATCAAGTCCTTGTGGCCTTGTCTACATAAAGGGTTTTCTAAAATTTTTCACCACTGCCAGTGTGGGTTCAGCATCAGTAGTTGTAGCGGTGGGAAGATAGGGTAGATAAGCCCCTGGTTATCTAACCGCCAATTGATCTGGACCTGCTCAGTCTAGATTGCACAATGGTTAGAATGCAAGATCACTCTCCATCACCTTAACTGTAGTGGTGCTTGCATCAATGTAGCTAAACAAATGATAGCAACAGTGGGAAATCTTACCGGGTGCAATGCCTCAGGGCTGACACTATGCCATTCTGGCAACACAACATTTTCATTGTATAACATTTACACCCACTTTAGGGCCCCTTTACGCTGCCAAAGAAGTGTAAGGAGATCTTGATGTAAATGCAAATTGGGCCCCTAGTGTAAGCACACCCATATCATTCATGGTGTGAAACTCACCTCTGTTCCCCGAAGTATCAAGAAGAGGGAAGCATTTAGATTATTGATGTTCTGAGTGATCAGAATGTGGAAACCTTGGTGCTGATGCTTCGTTAAAACTTATAATAGTCGAAGTTGCTCTAGGCTCTGTGGATCATAATACTGGCATCTACTTTTTGATTACTGTTGCACTAAAGTAGCTTCACATCTGTTTCCTATCTATGATATTGACTAAAAAGGCTTAGAGAAAACCACCAAGACCTATTTGGTGGTGGTCACAGTACCCTCTATATTTCCTCTGAGTTTAATGCTACATGACTGCATTTTAACAAAATGTTTCTTGCATCAGGAAAGTAGAGCTAAAGGACCAGACAAAGCCTACCCCATTGATCCTGGACGAACAAGGCCGAACTGTTGATGCAACTGGTAAAGAGATTGAACTGACTCACCGTATGCCAACCCTAAAAGCGAACATCAGGGCTGTGAAGAGGGAGCAGTTTAAACAGCAGCTCAAAGAGAAACCTTCTGAAGACATGGAATCCAACACTTACTTTGACCCTCGGGTCTCCATAGCCTCATCCCAACGTCAGAAACGCACCTTTAAGTTCCATGACAAAGGCAAATTTGAAAAAATTGCACAGAGGTTACGAACAAAGGTATTGTCTAGATTCCTGAGTGCTGGTCTTAATGAAGAGCACTAGAAGCAGAGAGTGGCATGGGAACCGAACTCTTGTGTCCCATTCGAGAACGATGGAGGCTTCAAGACAAGAAAGAATTCCACTACACGTGGTTGAAAATTTTCCATCAAAACTGTTTTTCAATGGAAAATTGGTTTTCAGTTTTTGTGGAAAGTGTCTTTCTGCATACATTTTTATCTTTTTGTTGACAACACAAAGAACTTAGTTCTCTTATGAAAAGCTGAAATTTTCTATGGGAAAAATACACTTTCTGACCTACTTTCAATAGAAGCAAATGATTTGGGGGCTGGAAGAACTTAAAGGGAGAGAACTTGCCTAAATTTTAACCATGCGCAAAAATATAGATCAGGGATCGGCAACCTTTGGCATATGGCCCGCCAGGGTAAGCCCCAAGGCCGGCCGGGCCGGTTTGTTTACCTGCCGCAACCGCAGGTTCAGGCGATTACAGCTCTCACTAGCCGCGGTTCGCCGCCACAGGTCAATGGGGGCTGCGGGAAGCACATCCCTCAGCCTGCGCCACTTCCTGCAGCCCCATTGGCCTGGAACGGTGAACCGCAGCCAGTGGGAGCCACGATCGGCCGAACCTGTGGACGCGGCAGGTAAACAAACCGGCCCGGCCCTCCAGGGAGCTTACCCTGGCAGGCCGCATGCCAAAGGTTGCTGATCCCTGACATAGGTTTACGTAGCAGTAACTATTTACTGCAGTTGTGAGGTATAACGAGGACTCTTGGAAGGAAGAGCTGATTTAGGCTGGATATTGGGAAGACCCTTTCTGATACTGAGGTCTGTTACACCATGGAGGAGATTCCCCAAAGAAATAGTGAAGCCCTTTGAGATCTACAGATGAAAAGTGCTATATAAGAGCTAGGTAGTATTATTGCTAAGACATTTCCCAGTACGTTTCCCAGCCCAGTTTTAAAGTATCAACTAGGAGAACAATCGTTTGTTAGGGTTGTGCAGTAATCCTTGCATGGGGCAGGTGTAACACCCACAAACCTCTACAAAACCACCCACTAGTCCCAGGCTCCATTCTCTGCTTCCTCTGTGACGTGCTCTGATCAGCTTGTAAAATAATATACCCCGTGTGCTTTGCTTTTTAAAGGCTGCACTATTTCTGTGTGTGCCCATGTAAGTGACCTGCTTGTCCCATCTCTCTCCTCTTGTCCTCAGGCTCAACTAGAAAAGTTGCAGGCCGAGATCTCTCAAGCTGCCAGAAAGACTGGGATCCACACCTCTACCAAACTAGCTCTTATTACTCCCAAGAAGGAGCTGAAAGAAGGGGAGATCCCTGAGATAGAGTGGTGGGATTCGTATATCATCCCTAATGGCTTTGACCTGTAAGCTATTACCTGCTTGGCTTTGATAATTTTATTGTAGAGAAGAAACTAATGGCCTGGCTTTTGAGAATTGCTGACCCAACCCCTGGTTCCATTGAAATTTGTTAGGAACTGCTGGTAGCTGAAGTGCCTAGCGCTTCTGAAAATCAGGCCCTAAGCCTTTGCTGCATCTTTTACAGAAGCAAGTGCATCCGCTTGGGGAACTGCATTCTGCCCCCCTGAATACCCCGTGGGAGGTTCAGTTGTATTTTGTGTTCGCTCCCCGCTCCAGTGTGCGGTGTGGTGCCAAACAGCTGCTGTATTCCATTCCAGAGCTGGTTTATTCCAGTGACTGAGGAAACAATTCCTGTGTGCAATTGATACTGCAGTTTGTTAGATTTCAGAGTAACAGCCGTGTTAGTCTGTATTCGCAAAAAGAAAAGGAGTACTTGTGGCACCTTAGAGACTAACCAATTTATTTGAGCATGAACTTTCGTGAGCTACAGCTCACTTCATCGGATGAAGTGAGCTGTAGCTCACGAAAGCTCATGCTCAAATAAATTGGTGAGCTGTAGCTCACGAAAGCTCATGCTCAAATAAATTGGTTAGTCTCTAAGGTGCCACAAGTACTCCTTTTCAGTTTGTTAGAGCAATTTTTGGCTAAAAGCCATTGTGGAATTTTCAAAAGCAGCTAAATGACTTTGGAGCACAAGCCCATTGACTGTCAGTTAAGAATTTTTGAAAGTTCTGCCTCTAATGTCTAAATGTAAGATCGATATTTAGAATATTCGGGGCAATGGGAGGGACTTTAATACTTATGTAGGACCTGTGTATCTCCCTGCTTCCCCTGAACGCTTGGCTTTAGAGTACCTGTCAGCAACTTGCGTAAGTTTAATAGTTAGCACTGTGGAGGTTTGGGGGGGGGGGGGCGCAAATTGCTTTGTTCGCCAAATGCTGTGGCTTGTGGAACATTGAAGAAAGTGCGGGAACCAAGCTCTAAGATGACTTGATAGTGATACACAAATTCTCTCCTCTTTAGTACAGCTGGAGTCTACTCTAAAAGAGACGACTACTTTGGGATCACAAACCTTGTGGAACACCCAGCACAGCTAAGCCCACCAGGTACTATCATGTAGCAGTCTAGTTCAAGGCCTCTTTGTAGTCTTGATTAACATAGGTGGTTTTGTAGCAAGACCCGTCAAGTGCTCCAAACCACTGGCAGCATGAGCTCTGAACCAGACTAAGACCCTCCCCGTTTGTAATACCACTGACTTCATTTCTCCTCATGAAAGAAATCATGCTAAGATAGAATGTAGAGCTCTGCTAGGGTAGCAAGACAGCTAAGACTAGGAAGGTGAGTCTAAAAAAGAGTGGAGGAGATCACATTGAAAAGCATAGTAACCAACTAGACATTGGAAACTGGTAGATTCCCAGGTAGTAGAGGGGATGGCTACTGCTACTTGGACATTATGGGTGTCTACACAGCAACTAAACACTTTTGTCAGCTGAGTCAGGCTTGGGCTGCAGGGCTGTCTAATTGCTGTATAGACGTTTGGGGTGTAGGCTGGGCCCATGCCTGAACGTGTGTGCCACAATTAAACAGCCCGAGCCCCGTGAGCCCAACTCATCTGATGCCGACCAGCCACAGGTGTTTAGTTGCAGTGTCGACGTACCCCAAATTCCTCCTGTGATCCACATGGTAACGCAGACCCAGACAAAGGACGTAGGATAGTAAAGAAAGGTTTAGAGGATTAGTGGTTAATCTGTTTAACATAAACAGCATTGTAACCTCTGTTTTCTGGTTCAGCATTGATATAAACAATCTGGAGTAACTCAAGGATCACAGATAGTAGCAGAAAGAAACCATGATCTAATATGGGATAGCTGAGAGGCATACGTACATGCTCAGAAAGAGGGGTTTTGTAGGTTACAAGCAGACTGGAGGACAAAAATGGTGGTGTTTGGCTGCCTTAGCCTTAAGCATCAGGAATTGGTTATAACTCCTAGACTGCAGCTATTTCCCTTCCCTTTCCCCAGTAATGATTGTAAACAGTATTTGGTCCTGCCCTTGGGGAACTGGTAAATGTAAAGTGACTGTTCTTTGATTTGCCTTCCTAGTGGACAGTGACACACCAGTGACTCTGGGCGTTTATCTGACTAAAAAAGAGCAGAAGAAGTTACGACGCCAGACGCGGAGAGAAGCACAGAAGGAACTGCAGGAGAAAGTCAGGCTGGGCCTAATGCCGCCTCCTGAACCGAAAGGTGGGTGACTACCTTGTGGAGAACAGGCTGTACGTAAAATGCTGCATTAAAACAGGCACTGCCTCCAAATGGTGACACATTGGCTAGGTAAAACCACTGTTTTGGTAAATTGCAGCAGACAAAGGAGCTGTGTATGAGAAATCCTATAGATCTACTCTGTTCATGAATTTACATTCGTGCATCTATATTAATAGAATTAAGTCCAGAAAGGGCTGTTATGATCATCTGGTGTGACCGGCATAACACAGGCCATAGAATTTCACTCAGTAATTCCTGCTTCAAGCCCCATGTGCATAGGGCAGCATTCTGGGGTGACTTGCACCCCATCCAGCCCTACTGACTTCATTAGGGTTGCACAGAGGCAGAATGAGGCACAATGAATGAACACACTACATGGAATGTTCATACGGAGGAACCACCTTTACTAAATTTCATGCATTGTTGCTGTGTCTTGTCAGGCAGTTGCCACACTGCACCTGGAAATACCTCCATTTCAGAGGCAAGTGATGTCTGTTCATAGCTAGTAATTCTGTAAAGCATTCTGAGCCTGACAAAAGATGCTACGGAAGGCTGTTTTTAAATAATGTTGGGGAGCCTTTTGAAGCAAGCCTTAGAGAGGAGATCTGGTCTCACCTAGAAATTAACTTGTACCTTTCTTTCAGATGGTTTCCCCAATGTTGTTTCACTCTTACAATCTTTGCACTCGGTTTTATTTAAAGTAAAACATCTATGCTGAAGATCTTCTCATTTTTAAGCTCTTGCTGCATTTCCACTCCTATACTTATAGGAAGTAACAGATGCCTTTTGAGTTTTGACACAAATTACGACAAGTTGGTACTTGATAGGTCCCTTTACAATGTTCCTCTCTCTATTTCCCTTGCAGTAAGAATTTCTAACCTGATGCGAGTACTGGGGACAGAAGCTGTTCAGGACCCGACAAAAGTGGAAGCTCACGTTAGAGCACAGATGGCAAAGAGACAGAAGTAGGTTGCATGTCCTAAAACAAGAAAGCTTTATTTTAAAGTAGATTTGGTGGTGGTGGGGTGCTGACAGCCCTAGAGACTAAAGTCCTCTACTGAAGCACAGAACAGATGCAGCAAAGGAAGAAAGAATTACAAATTTTACTCAGATGATGACCCTACAGCCTATTTCAGCTTTGTCTTGAAAGGCTCTCCTCTGAGAGCTAGAAGAGTTGAGTGTTCATGACCCATCCGTTCTTGGACCCTTGTCCTGAAGCTGTCAGCAAGAGGCCCAATTGCAGTGGTGGCTTTACAGCTATCTGCTGGGAACTGGACTGAGACCCTGACTCGCTTCACAGCCCCTCCAACAACTGCTTGTGTAGTAATGACTTTGAGACATGGTCCTCCTGAGCTCACTACATTCAGTCACTTACACTGAGCACTTTCAGGTTTAATACTGAGCAGTTGACTGTTCCAGACAGCAGCATTACCACAGTAGTGTTAGGTGGTGTGTGTACACATTCATCCTCAAGGGAAGTCATCTGGGAAATGCAAAGGTTTCACTGTAATAAAGATGAACTGAGTAGGCTCTTCAAGAAATTAATCTAAAGCAAAGTACCTGAATTAAAAGTTCATATGTGTAGTCTCAAACTACAAATAACCAGATGGCTGGATTTTTTCAGGCAGTGGTAATGATACAGGGCCTTATGCATCATCACCACTAGATCAGGTGCATCCTCTAGCAGTACTGACGGAAAGTTTGTACCATCTGATGATGCTTTAGTGACCTATTTAAAATTAGTTGGTGGGTGCTGATCCAGTTCACACCACAAATTTCCACCATTACAGCTGGCATTAATTGCTCTCTTTCAGCAGAGGCTAAGGTCTAAATGGATTGATCCCTCATCACTAGAGGCATTGAAGGCAAATTGGAGGGTGATGTTGCAGGAAGCTTGCAGTACCACTGTTCATACTTGTTACAACCTGGTCCAGTTTCCCTCTGGGTGGAAACCAGTCTCTTGTGATCTAGCGGGTTAGACCCACTCACGTGCTTCTAAGCCAGCCAGGTCTGGGCAGAGTCTGGTTCAATGTTCCTAACTTTGGGTCTACAAGGCTCACTCCCCTTCCAGTTTTCTGAACAGACATCCAACAAGCTGCATTTCTGCTTACCTGTTGTCTCTTTCCTCCCACCCAGAGCTCATGAAGAGGCAAATGCTGCACGAAAACTAACAGCGGAACAGAGAAAAGCAAAGAAGGTTAAAAAACTTAAAGAAGATATTTCACAGGGAGTGCATATATCTGTGTACAGGTGAGTGCCTTCTCCCACAGACCTTAGAGGTGCTTTGACTCAACAGATGTTTTTCCCATGTGACTTTTTATAAATACAGATGACAAACACCTGTCTATAAATGTGTGCTAATATGGAGTGTTCCTTTAATGCAAGGCTATGTCCTCTGGCTCCCTGAACTCCATTAGAAACACTGAAGGCTGTTCAAATTATTTTATGGTAGAGAGAGAAACACTTTCTCAAAAGTAAATAAATGGAAAGATAACTCCATTCTTCACTCATCCTGCATGAGCATTCAGGGTGAATGTAGAAAGTCTCTTTAATACTTCAGTGCTTCTGTAGTGCTTTCCATCCAAGGATCACAAAGCACTTTATGAATTTTAAACCTAATGACACTGAACCTGAGACACTGGGATATTGAATGTCCAGTGTCACAAGCAAAGCTGGCAATAGGACCCAGGAGTCCTGACATCTGAAAACACCATTCAAAAGTCAGATGAAAGCTTCTATTATAATGTAATATATGTAATAATGTATTGTGTTAGGAGCTGTAAAAAGGTAGATACAGTCCCTGCTCCACACTGAATAAAACCCTGTTGAACATAGGGTTTTTCTTATACCCCGACAGTACTGGAGAGATTGAAGTGAGAGTAAGTACTGGATGGAATTGGAGGAGAGTGAAGGAACCCTCTTTCTCTGTTGTCCATTGTTCGTAGTTCTGTAGTTCCTTTTTCGAATAGATAAACCTTTGCTTTTCTATCCTCAGAGTCAGAAATCTGGGCAACCCAGCAAAAAAATTCAAAATTGAAGCAAATGCTGGGCAGCTGTACTTAACAGGAGTGGTGGTTTTACACAAAGACGTCAATGTGGTGGTAGTAGAAGGAGGTAAGGCTCGGGGGGTGCACTTTCTGGTTAGAACATTAGACGTTCAAAAGTTTGTTTCTAACCAAGATACCCAAATATTTAAATTGCCAATTACTGGGAATTATGGAAGTAAAGGAAGATATTAAGCTGCTCTACTTAGTATTCTTCTTAGATTTACTCCGCACCAGCCCTTGTGTAGTCAAGTATGTTAGCTACTTAAGTATTTTAAATAATCCTCTAAACTGTAGCTTATATGTTTAAGCATTATTAAATCTGCTAGATTTGAAGTCACAATGCTTTGACAGTGGCAGCTTCTCAGGAAAGACTCTGCCAGCCCTGGGTGAGTCTGCTACAATGCTTCCAACTTTCATGGTGCTTTACAAACATTCTCTCAGCACGTTTTGTGAGATACTATCCCCATTTTACAGCAAGGGAAACAGATGGCACAGAGGTGAAGTGACTTGCCAAAGGCCACTGAGAGTTCCTGTCTCCAAGCCCTGTGCTTAGGTTAGAGACTGTACTCCTTTGTCATTGATCTACAGTATTCTCTTTGCCCATGGCTTTTAGCTGGAACTGTGTGTGTGTTTGAGTGTTTGGTTTTTCCTCCATGGTTTCAGGTGTCATTAGCTTTCACTGCTTTTTGGAGGCAGAATGTGACTCTTAGGACTCTTAAATTGAAGTTGTCAGTGAGCAAGAACTGAGTGAAAATTACTATCATCCTCTCTCTCTCTCCAGGCCCAAAAGCACAGAAGAAATTCAAACGTCTTATGCTCCATCGAATCAAGTGGGACGAGCAGACATCAAACACAAAGGGAGATGGTAAGCATAGACCCACATGGATCTGTATGAAATGTGACTAGGAAATGGCAATAGGGTCATTTTGTTGCAACCTGGAAGAGAAGCCATTACTATGCAAATCCTTCTGCAGAACATAATAGATCTGATCGTTTGAGTTGTAAATTTGAAGATCTCTGTAATGCTACTAAAGCAAACCAATACTGGGACTGTGATTTAGATGATAAAAAGCCAAGAACTTCAGTGATGGCTTATGCTTCTTGCTATTGTTTACACCAGTTTTCCAGACTGCCTCTCATATTCAGCTGTATGTTTTCTAATGCACAATAAAGCTTGAGCTGGCTTTGCGTTTGCAAGACTCGAGGTTTGAAAAAAACAGACTCCAGTATGGGATAGTGTGTGTACTGCTGAATGACATCCAGTCCTGGCAGACTGGGGAGGTGAATACTCCCAGGGAGGCGTATGCCATAATTCTGTGAGGCACTCTGAGGTGTATGTTATAATTCTGTGAGGCACTCTGGGTGGTCCTCTAGAACCCAGTACAGGTATGTATCCCTGAGACAGGAAGTGGGAGCCCAGAGCCCAAATCACATAACCCTGGATAATACTGATACACACATAGTGCTGGGAACAACTTCGCTATAAATGTGGTGTCTGTGTAATGCCATCGGCCAACAGTTTTCTTAAATGGGTCAGTTCTCCAGGGCAAGCCCTGTGCCTTCATATGTGCTTTATGCGTGCTCAGCCCAATATGGGGAGCTGATCCTGACTGGATGACCCCGGAGTACTACTGTAATAGATATTTCGTAATTGTGTAATGTGAGAGACCAGTCAGTGGCTGTAACTGTTGCTCTGGGCCAGTGATACTCAGACTGAAGTTCAGGAGCCACAAGTGGCTCTTTAATATGTGTCCTGCGGCTCTTTGCAGCACATGATATTAAAACAGTGATTTAATTATTAACCAATCAGGATGCTTTTACTGTGTTATTAACCAGTTATGTTATCAATTATCAACTTGCACTAAGTTATTATATTTGCTCTGGGAATAATTTATATATATAAAAACTTATTTCCCTGTCATACTGTTTAAATATGAGTACATAGTACTCTAGTCAGCTACTACTGTGGCTCTCTTAGGTAATGTTGGTTGCTAATTTGGCTCCTGAACCAGAGATCTGAGTATCACTGCTCTAGGCACATGATGGAGCCTGAAATGGGAATAAAAATGTGATAGAGGGATGTACTCACTGCTGAACCTTCTGTGCAAGTAAGTTAGATCTTCCACGGTATTTGAATTCGATTTTGTGCTTAAAATGTCAGATTATGAAGTCAGGTATAACATAACTACTAATAGCTATGGAGGACTCCCCCCTAAACACAATTAGAGAAAGGTGAAGGGAAATCAGCAAACATTTGTGTGCATGCCCAAAATGAGGGAAATGTAAAAGTCTTAGTCTAAATGCAGAAATGTAGTTTGGATTTAGGTGGGAGAAGTTATTTGAGTGGAATGAGAATAGAAGCATGGTCAGGACTGCCACTGCTTAGAGCAGTGGTCCCCAACCTTTCTGTGGGAATAGCACATTCCTATTCCCTGAAGACTGGCAGGTGCCAGACACCCTGCTGCCGAAATGCCGCCGAGAAGCGGCAGCGGAAAGAAGCGTTGCCGCCGAAATGCCGCTCAGAAACGGTAATGCTTCTCGGTGGCATTTTGGCGGGCGGTTCTCCGGCGGCTGCGCTTGGCGGCGCCACTTTGGTGGCGCGGTGTCCTGCGGGTACACACAACTGCCCCAGTGGGCACCATTGCGCCTGCTGGCGCTGCGTTGGGGACCCTGGTTTAGAGATTTGGGGTGGGGAAGACTTGTATTTTTAATGCTGGTGCTTTCTTAGTGACTGCCTGGAATTCCTTATTGGCTGTAGGTCTAAAATCTGCTTTTTTTTTCTCAAGATGATGATGAATCTGATGAGGAGTCTGTTAAAAAGACAAACAAATGCTCTCTGGTTTGGGAGGTAAGTTAGGATCTTGATTTAAAGGAGCATTTTGGGCCTTAGGCTCTAGTGCTTAATTTCTGGGTCACTTGGCTTTTCATTACTGCTGATATTAAAACATGCGTGCAAGCTATAAAGCCTTGTTACTTGCTGCACACTTCTGTTTGCAAATCGCTATGCATAAAGCATTTCACTACCAACTTGATGGCACTTGATTTTTGTTTTGATTGAAGTAGCTTGGCCATGGGTTTCAATATGAAGAACAGCTAGCCAAAAACTCAAAAGGTAATAACAAAATGTTTAAGTATATCAGAAGCAGAAAGCCTGCTAAACAACCAGTGGGGCCCATGGATGATCGAGATACAAAAGGAGCACTTAAAGACGATAAAGTCATAGCGGAGAAACTAAATGAATTCTTTGCTTCAGTCCTCACAGCTGAGGATATTAGGGAGATTCCCAAACTTGAGCTATCTTTTGTAGGTGACAAATCTGAGGAATTGTCACAGATTGAAGCATCACTAGAGGAGGTTTTGGAATTAATTGAGAAACTTAACAGTAAAAAGTCACCAGGACCAGATGGCATTCACCCAAGAGTTCTGAAAGAACTCAAATGTGAAATTGCGGAACTATTAACTATGGTTTGTAACCTGTCTTTAAATCAGCTACTGTACCCAATGACTGGAAGATAGCTAACGTAACGCCAATATTTAAGAAGGGCTCTAGAGGTGATGCTGGCAATTACAGTCTGATAAGTCTAATGTCAGTGCCAGGCAAATTAGTTGAAACTGTAGTAAAGAATAAAATTGTAAGACACATAGAAGAACATAAATTGTTGCGCAAAAGTCAACGTGGTTTCTGTAAAGGGAGATCGTGTTTTACTAATCTATTAGAGTTCTTTAAGGGGGTCAACAAACATGTGAACAAGAGGGATCCAGTGGACATAGTGTACTTAGGTTTCCAGAAAGCCTTTGACAAGGTCCCTCACCAAAGGCTCTTAAGTAAATTAAGTTGTCATGGGATAAGAGGGAAGATCCTTTCATGGATTGAGAACTGGTTAAAAGACAGGGAACAAAGGGTAGGAGTAAATGGTAAATTTTCAGAATGGAGAGGGGTAACTAGTGGTATTCCCCAAGGGTCAATCCTAGGACCATCCTGTCCAGCTTATTCATAAATGATCTGGAGAAACAGGTAAACAGTGAGGTGGCAAAGTTTGCAGATGATACTAAACTGCTCAAGATAGTCAAGACCAAAGCAGACTGTGAAGAACTTCAGAAAGGTCTCACAAAACTAAGTGATTGGGCAACAAAATGGCAAATGAAATTTAATGTGGATAAATGTAAAGTAATGCACGTTGGAAAAAAATAACCCCAACTATACATACAATATGATGGGGGCTAATTTAGCTACAACTAATCAGGAAAAAGATCTTGGAGTCATCATGGATAGTTCTCTGAAGACGTCCACACAGTGTGCAGCGGAAGTCAAAAATGCAAACGGGATGTTAGGAATCATTAAAAAAGGGATAGAGAATATCTTATCGCCCTTATATAAATCCATGGTATGCCCACATCTTGAGTATTATGTACAGATGTGGTCCCCTCATCTCAAAAAAGATATACTGGCATTAGAAAAGGGCAACTAAAATGATTAGGGGTTTGGAACAGGTCCCATATGAGGAGAGATTAAAGAAGTTAGGACTTTTCAGCTTGGAAAAGAGGAGACTAAGGAGGGATATGATAGAGGTATATAAAATCATGAGTGGTGTAGAGAAAGTGAATAAGGAGAAGTTATTTACTTGTTCCCATAATATAAGAACTAGGGGCCACCAAATGAAATTAATGGGCAGCAGGTTAAAAACAAATAGAAGGAAGTTCTTTTTCACTCAGCGCACAGTCAACCTGTGGAACTCCTTGTCTGAGGAGGTTGTGAAGGCTAGGACTATAACAGGGTTTAAAAGAGAACTGGATAAATTCATGGAGGTTAAGTCCATTAATGGCTATTAGCCGGGATGAGTAAGGAATGGTGTCCCTAGCCTTTGTCAGAGGGTGGAGATGGATGGCAGGAGAGAGATCACTTGATCAGTACCTGTTAGGTTCACTTCCTCTGGGGCACCTGGCATTGGCCATTGTTGGTAGACAGGATACTGGGCTGGATGGACTTTTGGTCTGACCCAGTATGGCCATTCTTATGTTTTTATGAAATGTTCGTGGTTTATCTTTTTAAACCTCCATTCAGATGGAGAAAACAGTGTGGTGACTTTCTCTGTCTAGTCCACACTGGAGTATTTTTGCATTTGGAAGGGTATAATGCTGGGAAATGCAGAGGATGCATGATCCCATTCAAATATCTAATCACTGTTCAAAGGAAGCTTCCAGGACTAACTTATTGCCTGCTTTTTGCAATGCAGGAGAGCTGGGTTTCAGACTCTCCCTCTGGTGGAGGGAGGTAGCATACTCAGCCCTTGTGGAGGAGAAAGCAGTCAATGCTTTCTATGGCTAACTAGTGACAGGAACCAAGTTGGCAGCTTTCAAAAGGTGTCCTGGCCCGAAGTACTGTGGCTATATAGCTCCCTTGTGTTCCAAGTGACTTGAGGTTGGGGCCCGCACCCTTCAGTTTTCATGATCACATCCTTTGAGATGCTATATAAAAATATTGGCATCTCCACAGTCTTTGGAGATTATCATGTATGGCATGATAAAAGACACTGGCTATGCCAGACAAAGATAGACACAGACTGGAATAAAACATGTAACTTCAATTAAAGCCACTGAAGTGCTCTTAAACACTTCAGTTTGTTGCGGACTGTATCAAAGGAAAGTCTTTTCCTGGCAGTTCATTTAAAAGAAAACATAACTAAATGACAGTGGAAATTGCCATTATTTAAGCATGTTTCTCTACAACCTTTCACCTCTGCACAAATAAAAATAGCACTAATTTAATTATACAAATCATAGTTCCTCTCTGAACATTTGTTTAGAAACCTGAGAAATTACTTTAGAATTGAAAAAGAGGATTATTCTTGATTCCTCTTGTAATTGTGGTTGCATTTGCTTGGTTGTTTTTCCTGTTAGCAAGACGCATCAGAAAACTCCTACTCTCTGTCTTATTTCAGGGTACAGCGAAGGATCGCAGCTTTGGTGAAATGAAATTTAAGCAGTGCCCCACTGAAAACATGGCACGGGAGCATTTTAAAAAACACGGAGCTGAGCACTACTGGGACCTGGCTCTGAGCGAGTCCGTGTTGGAATCCACAGACTGAGGGTGCTGCTGCCCCCAGCGTTCCCATTGTTAATTTGAGAACAATACCTGGCTGAAAACTTGGACAGAACTCCCTTCCTCCCCTCAAATCCCCACAGTACGTTGCATATGATTAAAGAAATATTTTTAAAACAACAATCACAGCTACACTGTTTTCTAGATAAACCCAACTCTTGGAAATTGTGGTGCAAAACCACTGGAAAGTGGTATCCGCCAGAGAATTTAGTTTTGAGGAGGTGGGAGGGACAGAGAAAATTGTTTTCAGTAGTCTCTTTAGTCTTTCACATACGGCTGTCTCAAGTGGAGGTACAAACACCTCCTTGCTTTGTCAGCTGTTCCATAGATGAAGTCTGACATTGGACAAACTATATGGTGCACACAATCAAAGCTTGCTCCTTTGGTGGGCAGGGAGGCAGTCTGGGAGCAGCCCCAAATGGTCTGAGGATGCAGTATGGAGCATTGGAATTTGTAAAGCAGAGTAGGAGATGGGGACTTAGCCCACATCCTATATTTACATAATAAACTTTTTTAAAAGAAAGTCAAAGATGTGTTTCTTTACATGGGAGTTTCAATTAGCCTGCTGTTACTCACTGCAAACCATGTTCTTCTGTACTTGACTCTTGCATCAGTCTTATACCATAGCCTGGGTATATTTGGAAGGATTGTTTGACAGCCTTAAAATCAAGGGCCCTCTCTGCAACAAACATGGAGGGAAGATGGTCCTTGCTCTCAACTGTAAAATCTAAGAGAAGTAAGAGAGCTTATGGGGAGAGGGATACAACCAAATACATGTTTTTATAGACTCTTGCAGTTCTCTAATTATAAACAAAAGATGCCAGCTCAGCTAGCCATCATTAATTGGCAGATCTTGAAGAAGTACTTGATGAGGAAAATGGACTGGCCCTACAGATGAGTTCAGGGAGAATATTCCATGCATAAGAAGCAAAGTGGAGGAAGGGTCAAAGTGTTTTGTTGTGAAGCTGGTGTGAGTAGCAGCAGTTGAGGGCTGATGTTTGGAGAGAAGAGCAGACAAGAATGAAGAGGCAGAGTTGTGAAGCTTGAACTTTAATATTTAGGGAAAAGCGGAATTCTTGTAATACCCTATATGCAGCATTGTAAATTGCAGCAGTCAATATGATCCACACGTGGAGCTGTAGTGGACATTGTACTGTGCTTACTGAGGCAGTTACTGTCTATTAGATTGGTCCTTAGAAGGAAAATATGTTGGTGAGCGGGTTTCTTCAATTAACATTAGCATGAGCTTCTACAGCCAGAGCTGGCTTGTCTTGTATTTCATGCAGGTAACTTCCTTCACTGTATGACAAGCTTTGAACCTGCTTTTAAATTCATGGAAATGTTTTGGTGTCATCCCATTTATTTCAGTTGGATGCTTATCCCAGCTGCTGCAGAGATGAAAAGTAAATAGCAGCTGTCCAGTGTCTTTTTTTTTAATGAAGTGGGAAAGGGTTCCCATAAGCACATTTTGTTTTCATTCATCCCTAATTAGGTTAACAGCTTTTAAACAGGTTGATGCATCACGGGAAATATAGAATATCTGTCAAGGCTGGAACACTAGATCTGATCCTGTCCTTTCATCTTGTGCAGACAACTACATCAGTGCAAAGTGGAGGTCAAATGCTATCAGATCAGTGTGGTAGCCTTTTACACTCATTTCATAGTGCTGGGAATGACTGTGCAAAGTGCAGGACAATGGAGAATTAAGCACAGTGTTTCTGTGAATGCAGGATCTCTGTTTTAATCTGGTCCTATTGCTTCATTCCGTAGCTGGAGTCAAACTTTTGAATACATTCTCAGAAATAGGACTTCAAGGGAGGAATAAGCAGCTCACCTAGTGTCTGGGGGCTGGGGTAGAAATGCCATAATAAACATTTGTTGCTAATCAGCATGGCCTGCATAGTTGCGCTTCAGGTTTCTAGTAGGATTAGTCATGTTTGTCTGTCTTTGGCACAACAGTGCTTCTGTTTATACTCTCAACTATTTATGCTCTGATGTTGACACTACTTCCTGCTGTAACTCATTCTAAACAATGAAAGGGACTTTGTATATTGTGTCCTGAATGTAGGAAAGACTCAAGATTGTATTAACATCTAATTCTAGATTTTCTTTAATTGTGCACTGACAAGTCTCAGAATAAACTGGTTTTGCTCAATTATATGAGGAACTGGATCCAAGACACAAGCTTATGATGTGTCTACCACAGGAGCAAAATATTGTATGATGGGAACTAGGATGGCTGGTGGTAAAGAGACAGCTTCCTGTAACTTCCCGAAAATCATCTTCCCCCCTGTGAGCTAAAGCTCAGGAACCACTTCTCTTCCATCAGCCTGCCTTCTGCAGAAGCTGGTGTGAAGTACCACATCTTGTTACAGAGAGCTTTAAAAGATGCCTCTTCATTGTAAAGAGACAATCTTATTCACATTTTTTAAAAACCAGATATTGTTTCTTGAGCCATCTTAATTTAATAACACAATCTTAATATTTAATTAACTATTTGTGCTGCTTGGTTTTTCTTATTTTGGCTGAGGACAATACAGTATTAGAATACTTTTCTCCTTCAGGTAAGGCTTTGCTACTTTGGTTGTAAATCGGTATTGTCTGTTAATTGTTGGTTTGTTTTAAAATGTACTGTAATGAAGCAATTGAGAGGGTTTATCTCTTGTAAGAGCTTGATTTAAAAAAAATTTTTTTTTACAAGTTTAGGTAATTACTCCTTTAAAAGTGGTAATTTGTTTCTCTATGTTTATCCTCTTTTCTTTAAATCTCTTCTGTGGCAGGCTCTGCTCAGTAAAACAGCCTGTTGCTCTCTTCTACAAACCACCTGGTGCAGGTTCTACCATTGATGTGGGGTGCCTTTGCAAAATGGTGCCTGTGCTGAATGAGCTGGGCCAGTTGTGTTTTTGATGCTGCTCTCTTGGGCAGAAGAGGGGAGGGTGCTAGGTTTGCAGGCCAAAAAGGTGGTAGGGAGAAACAAAAAGAGCATAAGCGTTCTTCCACAACTTGGGCCAGTAGGGCCTGTGGCCATCTGTAAAGGCTGCTGAGAGAAAAAACATGAAGAGGGGAGGAAAGCACCACGGATGCTGGGACTGTGGCCATGGTGTAAGGAAATGCAAAGGATGCCAGGCGTGTGGTTAATGGCAGGTGCGGGGAAAGAAGTGTAACAAATGTTGGCAGCATCAGGCACGTGGGTGTGGGGGAGGAGCACAAAGGATGCTGGGAGCATGGTCAAGGTGGGGGGGGGAGGAGCACAAAGGATGCTGGGAGCATGGTCAAGGTGGGGGGGGAGGAGCACAAAGGATGCTGGGAGCATGGTCAAGGTGGGGGGGGGAGCACAAAGGATGCTGGGAGGGAGTATGGCCCTGCCCTTCATTCTGCAGCCCCCAGGCAGCTGCCTCCCTCCCTCGTTCTCGCTGGGAAGCCCTGATTGGACTGACACCGTTGACCCTTTCCCCAGGGGCAGGGGAAGGCCTCGGTCAATCGTTCGTGCTCCCTTCCCGCCTCAGGTCTAGCCCCTACACTTCGCACATGCGCAGTGATAGGAAAGAGTGCCTCGCTTCACGGCGCACGCCCGGCGCTTGTTTTAGAGAGAGCGGCCCGCATGCGCAGGAACGTGATTTCCTCAGGCTTGCGCACAATCGATTGAGAGGGATGGGGTGTTTGCGCGGTCACGTTCGCGCATGCCCAGTATGCTCCGCGACGCTGACGAGAAGTTTGGCATGTGCGCAACCACTGTGTGGCGCGTGCGTCGTGAACATCTTGCGCCTGGAGGCGCTCGGCGCGTGCGTAGTTGGCAGCGTCCCGAGAGGGTTGGCGCATGCGTACTAGGTGGCTGTGGTTCTGAGGCTAACTTGAGAAACCTAGTACAAAATGGCGGCCGATGGGCGGGCTCCGAGCTGTGTTGGGGATGGAGAATAACCAGCCCCTGGCAGCTGCCTAACCGGTTAGCGGCTCAACGAGCACAGGAGGGGCCCTTCAGAGGAAGGGGTCCGTTAAAAGCCCCGCAGGGAGCGAGGGGGGCGGGGTTGCGGCGCGTACCCCCGGAGGGAGCGTGAGTCGCGCGCTCCCGCGACCAGTGGCGGCCGCGCGACGCTCCCACCGTTTCGCGCGAGTGCGCGCCCGGCCCGGCCCGTGGGTCTCGGGACGGGGAGGGGGCGCGTGCCCGTGAGAGAGGCCGGGCGGTGGGCTGTGGCAGAGCGACCCCTGGGTGCCACAGAGAGGAGGCGTGTAGCGGCCTGTCGCGCCTGCGGCCCCGGACAGGCCGGGCCCAGTCCAGCGTGAGGGGGTTTCACCTCTGTGCGTTGTGCCCGCTCTAGGGGGCGGGGATAGAGCCGCTCCATTTGCTGGAGGGGGGGCGTGTTTGCTTTGCTCGCTGTTGCATTGCATGCGGTTGCGGGGTGGGTGCCGAGACCCTCGCGCGCGCGCGGGGATTGCGTGCCGGCGAAGGGGGCTAGAGGCTAGGGCTGAACGTCACGGCATGGAGGCGGCGTAGGGACCCCAGCGCCCAGGGCAGAGGCTCATTGCGGTGTGCACCCTGGGGCGATTGGGAAACCCCAGCACGCAGGGGCTGCGCGGGTGCCCTGCTCGCATTCCCGCGTTGCACGACCGTAGCCGGACTGCGAAGCCCTAGCACAAAGGCGCAAAAGGGGTGCATCGTTACGTGCATCCTTCTTTGGAAGCGGCCCCGGTTAAATATAGCATACCCGTGCCGCGGCCAGCCCAGCCCATCTCTGCCCGGGCGCGCGCACAGGAGGCACGCTCCCCCCCCCGGGCGAGGGGGGAGGGGAGGGCGGCTGAACGGTGCACGCGCTCCCGGCCGCGGCGGAGGGTAGCGGCGCTGCTGCTTGTGCGACCAGGGGAGGAAGATGGCGGCCGGCGGCGGAGGCAGCAGCAAGGCCTCCTCGTCGTCGTCCTCCTCGGCGGGGGCCCTGGAGGCATCGCTGGACAGGAAGTTCCAGTCGGTCACCAACACCATGGAGTCCATCCAGGGCCTGTCGTCCTGGTGCCTGGAGAACAAGAGGCACCACAGCACCATCGTGTATCACTGGATGAAGTGGCTGAGGAGATGTGAGTGCGGGGGGGGGGATGGGAACAGGACTCCAGGGCGGGGGGGGCACCATGGCGGGAGGTGGAGATTGGGGGGGCTCTTGAGAAAAAGGAACCGCGGCCTCATTATCTGCCCCTGGATGAACGAAGAGGGCACCAGGAGGGAGATGTGGGGGGCGGGGCATCTAGGAAAGTAGGCACCACAACCCCATAATTTTTCATGGGGGGGGGGAAGCAAATGTAATGACCCCCCATCCAACCATTGAAACAGGTTCGCCAGGCTCATGGTGGATTCTCCGTTGCTAGCCGTTTTTAAATCGAGATTGGGTGTTTTCCTAAAAAGCATGCTCTGAGAATTATTTTGGGGAAGTTCTCTGGTCTGTGTTATGCAGGAGGTCAAGATTCGAACTCTGAATTGGGAGAGTGAGGTTAGGATGGAGGCATTAGGGGCTGTGAGGGACTCTGGGGAAATAATCCCTTTCTTCCTTTCACTTGCCTTCCATGTCTAGTCCCTTCTCCCCATTTTCCAAACCCTGTTAATCCAGACATATCTCCTGATATGAATCTCTCCTCCTTCCCCCCCCCCGCAGTTATTGACATATCTTTGTTCCTGTGTCACTTACCCTGTGATTCCCACCCTACAGACTCATTAATCTGCATCTTGTTTATATTCCCTCACTATGCATCAGGTTCTCAGTGGCTTCCCCTAGTTATTTAAGCCACCCCCACTCCTACCCAGATGGTTCCTTTATTGTGTTTTAAATACTTTGGAGTCTATAAACAGAACTATCGGTCTGTATATACCTGGTACAATCAGAGATGTTTGCAAAATGCGTTGGTTTTCTTAGCTTGAAAAATGCCATTTCTTTCATTTATTGATTGATGATTTGTGGTGTTAATAAGAAATAATAGAAATGCATGGTGCCTCTAACATTGTACCTCTTTAAAATAGATCTGTTTCAGAATTTAAAAGATCTTGCGTATGAATTTGTAGTGATCATTTGGGAACCTATGATTTACTGTGAATTTCTAAATTGGTTGAGATCTTCGTTTATAGTTCAGGACAAGTCTGGGAAATCTGTTGCGTTGCTTAGAATTTTTGTATGTTTGGTATTTGATTCACAAGCAGAAATGTTCAGTTTGAAGTGGATGTGAGTGTATAACCATTACAGTAATAGACGTTCTAACACAACTTCACAAAAGTCCAAAAACTGTAGTGGGAGGCAACAGAATGTTTGGGGTAGGGAGAGAGGGAGTGTATTGAGAGGATGAAGGGGAAACAACTACCTTCTTGTACCACAGGTTTCAAACGTATATTTAATAATTGATAGCTAGTCTTCTTCCTGCTTTAGTAAACTTATTGAAGTTAAAGATCTCTGAGGCATAATTATCCAGAGAAGAAATTTTTGGAGCACGTAACTTCTAGGCAAGCCATTCTAATCTCTCAGTTTTATCATATGGCATTATCATTGCTGTGTATGTTCCTTACAATGTTAACCAGTAACTAAGGAGTCTTCTCCAGAGTCTCGGGTCTGTACTTATTTATACTTGCATCTGAAAGATTTTAGTATACAATTCCAAGAAAAAAATAAGGATGTAAATTAACCTCCCGGAACATCAGCTCTCATTTTTGGGGGCTAGCCACAGGCTTCTTCCCCCACTCCCAAAATAGAAGTCTCTTTAGATGTGGGTAGGAGAAAGAGTATTGGATATTAAAATCAAATCTAGAGAGCACTGGCCGTAGTTGTATTGTGGACTTGACAGTGGAGAGATTAATCTTTTTCACTAGTCTAAACATGGTTTGATCATCTTTGCTAGAATTGCTCTTTCATATGTCCTTAAAACATTCAAATCTCGTACTGTCTCAGTATGAGCTAAAGCAAGTTTTGCAGGCGTAAGGAGGTAACATTAAAGTGGCATTATAACTTTTTATGTTATGCTTAAAAATGTTTGAAATAGTTCATTCTCCATTTTAAGGGTTGATTAGAAGTGAGCTGTAGCTCACGAAAGCTTATGCTCAAATAAATTGGTTAGTCTCTAAGGTGCCACAAGTACTCCTTTTCTTTTTTCCCTGTTTACTTTGATTGTATTTGAGAGCTCTCTACAGAAGGAAAACAGGATTGATTCCTCATTCAGGAGCTATGTCCTTCACTTGCATCACTTATTCTAATCTGAGCAGGCTGAGGAATGCTGTGAATTAATTGGCAGAATAGATTGTAAATTGTTATGAATTTTGATACTTGTGAGGTACAGTTATTAGGGCTTGAATTGCAGGTATTTATCTAGATGCAGAGATTATGGCGAGTAACTATTACACACTGCTTCAGTTAGCATAACTTTTGCATTTTAAAATCATACATCAATTCTTCCTAGCAGTCTGAAAGTCTCAAAAGCAAGACTTGCTTGTCATTTGGAATAAACTGAGATGTATCTTGCAACAAAGGTCAATGAAAATTAAGGTTTTGGAGCAGTCTGCAAGTAAAGGGGATATTTTGTGGGAGTGGGCATTTGCAACTCAGCTAGCATGAGGGTTCAAATATAAAATTAAACTATTTTCTTTGCCTTTTAATCAGCATAAAAAACACTTCATTGTTGAAATTTTCAACAGTACAGTTGTCTGACTTACTAAAATGTTAAACAGTTTATTATTGTCAAAGGTTGTAATTAAACTTTATTTTCAGATATGTGAACTCAAATGTATATCATAGTGAGAAGTGAGTCTTCTAGGGCTGGGATTGCTGGGCAGAGCAAAATAGAGTAGTTCATAATTTTCTTTTGTTTTGGTAGTGTGACAAGTAGTTAAGTTATCTTTTTTAATAGTACCATGTAAGAATCAAAATATTAACTCTTAAGAAACTGCTTTTGTCAAAACCTCTAATGACCTTTTCTTTTCTAAAGCTCAGAACCAGTACCCCATCCTCATCCTCAATCTGTCATCTGCCTTTGACACCATTGATCATGCTCTTCTTTATATCCTGTCCTGTCATGGCTTCCATGACCGTATCCTCTCCTGGTTCTGCTCTCTAATTGCTCCTTCAATGTGTCCTTTGCATCATCCTATTCATCACCCGCACATTTCTGTGTAGTTTCCACAGATCTCTGTCCTTGAGCCCCTTCTTCCTCTATACCTTACCTCTGGGTAATCTCACCTGCAAAGAAAATTCAGCTACCGTTTCTCTGCTAAGGACTCACAGATCTACCTCTCTACTCCAGACCTGTCTTCTATCCAAACTAAAATCTCGGTCTTTCTGACATCTACTTGTGAATGTCTAGCCATCAGCTCCGTCTCAACATGGATAAAACAGAGCTCTTAATCCCCTCCCCCATAAACCTCCCTGTTACCTCCAGTCCCATTCACTGTGGACAACACCACCATCCTGCTTGTCATTCAGGCCTCTAACCTGGGCATCATCTTTGACTCAGATCTCTCTCTAAATCCTCCCATTTAGGCTATATTTAATTTTCCACATAGGGCCTTTCTTGTTCATTCACTTCTAAAACTCTTGTCCAGGCTGTCCTCTTGCATCTTGATTACTGCAACATCCTTCTCTCTGTCCTCGACAAATGCAGTTTTGCCCCACTCATATCTGTTCAGAATGTTGTCACAAAGATCATTTTCTTAGACTATGTCATCCCTCTCTTTACATCCCTCCTCTGGCTCCCCCTTCTCTATCACATCAAACAAGCTTTTTACTTTCACTTTGAAGGAGCTTCATGGCCTATCCCTACCTATTATCTCTTAAGCTTAAGGTTAAGATTTTGTCATGGTTATTTTTAGTAAGCCATGGACAGGTTGCAGGCAATAAACAAAAATTAATGGTAGCCTGTGACCTGTCTGTGACTTGTACTAAAAATAACTGGGAGTGTGGGGGGAGGGAAGGAATGACAGCTGAAGCCCCACTGTGTGGGGACTGACAGCCTGAGCCGGACTACAGGGGCTGGGGCGCACAGCCACAGGAGGGCAGGGGGGCGCACATCTCCTGTCACTGGTAGCTGAAGCCGAAGAAGTCATGAAAATGCAGTAAAGTCACAGAATCCGTGACTTCCATGACCTCTGCGACTAAATCATATTCTTACTTATGCACCATCGAGACATTGATTTCCTGCCTTCCATCAGCCCAGGATGCATAGGGCCCTACCAAATTGGACATGAAAAACACGTCATGGACTGTGAAAACTGGCTATTGTAGGGGAGACCAGATTTCACCGAGTTGAGCAGCTGGAGAACAGTGGCTGCTGGCTGGGAGCCCAGCTCTGAAGGCAGCACCACCACCAGCAACAGCATAGAAGTGAGGGTGGCATGCTATGGTATTGATGATTACCTGTTCTGTTCATTCCCTTTGAAGCACCTGGCACTGGTCACTGTCAGAAGACAGGATACTAGGCTAAATGGACCTTTGATCTGACCCAGTGTGGGCATTCTTACGTTACTGCCACCCTTACTTCTGTGCTGCTGTTGGCGGTGGTACTGCCTTCAGAGCTGGGCACCCAGCCAGCAGCTGCCCACCAGCTACCGAGCTCTGAAAGCAGCAGCACAGGATGTAAGGGTGGTGGTATCACTACCACCCCCACAATAGCTTTGCGACACACACCCCCTTGCACTTACCCCATTTTGGGTCAGGACCCCAACGGTTACAATACCGTTAAACTTCAGATTTAAGTATCTGAAACTGAAATGTATTATTTTTTAAATCTTATGACCATGAAATTGACCAAAATGGTCCATGAATTTCTAAGGCCCTAATGATGCAGCTTCCATCACCCACTTGATACGTTTTCAGATACCTTCATGCTTTCTTCCATGCTGCCCCTCATGCTTGAGAGGAACTCCCCATAAACACCACAAAACTAATTATTCTCCTTCAGATTCCACTTTAAAACTCTCCTTTTCTATCATCCCTACAAAAACTTGACAATAGTTAGCTGGCTGTTGTACTGAGTCCACTGCATATCGTGCTGAGCCAATTTATGTCTAATTGTTTCCTCGTACTCTCTTACCTGTCTCTGCATCCACCTATTGT